CTGGTGGAGGCCTTGGTAGCTGTGAACAACTAGTCCTTCGGAATAATCTTTTCGTTGTATCCTGTTCTCTTCATTCTCCCTTGCTCCCGAAGCGATGAGACCAGTGGAGTATCTTAGATGGCCGCTCACAGGCTTTTAAGACCTCAGACTACTCACCAAGGTAGAATGTAGAGCATTGTCTTTATAAGCTGTGTCATGCCAATTGAGCTAGATGTTCCCTGAGACCATGGTCCCTACAGCCCTCCACCCAGCAATTCAGTCCCTCAGGGAGTTCGGATGTGTCTATGGGGCTTCCATGACCTTTCCTTGTACAAGTTGTGCTAGTTTCCCCTGTATTGTGTACTGGGAAAGACTATGTTTTTGTTTTCAAAAGTAAGAATTTATTTTTTGTTGTTTTTGAAAAACTGACTATATTGAATGTTTTGGCCTTGTAAATTCTCTTCGTTGTTAAGTTATGTTTTTGTTGTCATTTTTTTAGGTCTTAGATTGAGTGTGCATTTTGTAGGTACAGTATTTCTATTTGTTTAATTTAGAACCGAATATGGTTTTAGTTTGAACCTTTCTGTAGTGTTTATACCTGAGCTGGCAGCCATGCTGCTGGAGATTGATTGAACTGCCTCTTAACAGAAGCAGTCAATTTTTGATTTCTAAGTGAGTGCATAAAGTGAAAAAACGGTGTAGTGAAAAAAGTAAACCCAATATCGGAAGCCAAACTGAAATGATTTGAAGATTAGTATAGCTTTCTATAGGTGGAATATCTTGCAGAGTCACTATTGGCTGTAAATATAGAACTTAGAATCCTAAAGCTGCTTTAAGAGATTCTCTAGCTCATTCCAGTTTTTCCTGCAGAATTGCATCTAACCTTTCCAAGATAGCTATCTGTCCTGTTCTTGAGTCCCTAAGGGCAGAGATTTGCATGCTACTTTATTTTAGTGTTTAATTACTTTTCTAGTTAAAATTCTTATGTCAGAACTAATCTCCATTGCTGCAGTTTAAGCTTTTTTCACTTGCTTGTGTCCTCCTTGGAAATGGAGAATATCTAATAAACAGTTTCCTTAAGATGTCAGAAAGCTGCTGTTAATTCAAATCACTAAAAGTTTTCTATCATTTAAAATTTAAAAACATTCAATTTAATGGTTTTTGGTTCTTTAATGTAGTCTAGTTGGTTTATATGCGTTTTTTTTCAGAGAAAACCAACAGAGCTCAGAGGGGAACTTGCATAAGATTTTAAACTTACTTCTGACCCTCAAAGTCACTTGTTTCTGTTTATATATTCAAATTCAAATT